AAAAATTATATTATTAAACTAAAAATAAAAAGATGAATTAAAGAAATACACAAAAAATGAGAAATTTTAAATAGTTAGTTTGGTACTAATATCAATAAAAAATTCAAATTTTTATGATATCTTCATATTTATATTTTATTCAAAAATAAAAAATTATTTTTTCTCAAAACCATATAAAACCAAATTATAACATCGATTGAGACAAAAAATGAACATTAAAATCGAGATGTATCTTGCTACATTGTGCGAGTACCCTTCTAATTATCATAAATAAATTTCTAAGTGTTCTTTTTTCCATTTCATTAGCCAAAGACATTTTGGGTGTGTGTTATTACAATCGTATTTTGTAAACGATACTGATTTAGTCAGCAGTATCAATAGCAAACATATTTTTATCTAAAATACAACTTACATGACAAACTAGCATCTTCTTCAAGTAATAACAGATGATGACATATTACAAAATACAAGGAAAATGATGAAATCAGATAAACGTTTAAACTTTATCAACTGTTATCCTCTTGTTCTTAGAATAACACAAAATGATAAATGAAAATACTGTTCTATATTATCTTATGTGTGTATATGTGAAAGTATGAGATGATATGCATACATACATCATTGGAGTTGTATTTCATTTATTAGTGTCTTTATATCTCAAAGGACCAACTGCAACTACAACTACAACTAGAGACTTGACCATGACCATGGAGATGGGGCCATAAGCAAAGAGGTAACATGGCTTCAAAGGTTTAGGTCAAAGTTTGAATCACTTCACTTAGGATAATATTCTTCTTTTGACAAAACTAAAAGTATTCTAATACCAACAAACTCAATTATTCAAATATCACATGTACCTCACATCCATCTTTGCCCATTATAATATACACTATTATGAAATAAGAGTATGAAAATAATTTACTCCCAACAAACTGTATCAGTGGGTTGGTATTTATCTGGTTCTTAAAGGAGAATAACCAACCTAACGACACTTGATAGTTGACGAGAGGTTTTCTGGATTAACAGAATATTTATCACTTGATCAAAACCCTCGTCCGAGAACTTGTATGGAGAAAGATTTCCCGTGGTGCAGCAGTTCTTCTATACCAACTTAGCTGTCAAATCTATAAATATTTTGTGGATAGAGTGGTGACAGATTTTGTTTTCCTTAAACACTTAAACATTTTTATCTTTTTCAGTTGATGTTCATAATCACATCAGAAAAGGGACAAAGGGTCCAATTAAACCTTTTTAGTTCAAGGTAAACGTTGGATGGAGCGAGAGTCTCGAGATATTGATCATATAAATGGTTGCATTTAGTCATGGCATGAATTAAATATGCAACCCCTTGGATACGCCCATTTGTAAAAGTGATTACAATCTCACCACGAGAGGTAAGAAAAGTCAGTAATGAAAAAGTAACTTAAAATATTAAAAATTTATGACATCCGTTGCTTGATTAGACTTGTCGTGCCTTTTAGAAACGTTACTCCTTGAAGGCGACTTCATCGTCTAGGATACGGTCCCCTTTGTTAGGCTTTTTCCCGTAAGATACTCCTTTATTGATCTTTATCCAAGTTTCATTAGTCATTAGCATGGCAGTAGGTTTTATCAAGGTGGGGGGTCCCTTTTTTTATATCAAACGTTAACCGTTCTTTCGAAAAAAATATACATATTTTTGGTTCATATAATCAAAAAAACGACATCTAATAAGAAATGGTGCATCAACAAGATGTTATATTTTTGGTTCATATTTTTTAATTACTTTTATATCAATGAATAATTTAGAAAAATTTCAAATGATTTAATATATTTATTAAATAATATGTAAAGTCAATTTTTTTGAAAGTATATTGATGTAATAAGAAATGGTGTATCAACAAGATGTTATATGTGGACAATGACATGATATGGAACCTGGTAATTTGCGTCATATCATCTTAACTCAAATCCAAAATATTACTGATTGATGCAATGGGTAAAAATTCCAAAATGCAATACAATAATAAAAAATAATTTGAAAATAAATTGTTGTTGTTGGGTTTTAATGTAATTTGTAACTGTTTACGTAGTGAAAAATTACAAAATGAATTAGAAAACTTTTCTAAATGTAAAACTCAATCGGATCAAATGATGCATTTAATTAAAACTCATTCACATAACATAGGGTGTTTAGCATTCGCACATTTATAAATCGGATAGATATTTGATGGAGCACTAAGAAACCAACGAAAGTTTCCTCTATAATATTCTACACATGCTCATGCTCAGATCTTCTATCAGGTACTAGCCCAAGAACCCTAGATTTATATGTGTCTTACAAAATAGAAAAAAGTTTATTTTTTGTATTTTCTGAGAGGCTAAATTTTAATCGATTCAATCAGTTGAAATTGATTTAGCGTAACACCTTATTTATATAGTCTAAATTACAGATAAAACATAATTCATAGTAAGGTTTAGTAATTATATGTAGCATATATATAATTATCTTAAACTTTAATATAACTGTATATATTTACAGATGACATTCTGTAATTGTTATAATTATGTTTCAACACATATTTTCATAATTACCCTCCAAGAATAATTATATCCATAATCACCTTGATTTGATTCGGATTCTACGACTTGAAGCAAACGTATTTTTTGTATGCGACCTTATAGGATTACATATTCCTCGGTATTATTTTTTGTATGACACTTATCGTGAACATATAATAATTTATAATTATAATAAGAAAAAAATAAAAATACAATATTATAGTAAAAAATATATAAAAGTAAATTGTTATTTCGTTTATTTAATCATTAAATAATTGATAAAAAACAATTAAATATCAAAATTTTAATTTTACAAAATCTAGAAATATTTACATTTCATGCTTTTATGGGAACCCATGTCTTTACAATATTATTTCTACAACATATTGGAGTGAGTTTTGAAAAGAAAAGAATTAAAAAAACGATTGAGACGATGAAATCTTCTAAACCTTTATTTTCGTTTTTAAGGGTGCGTTTGGTATCCATATATGATAAAACATAATAGGACAAAACAATTGTTCAATATTCAGTAAGATAGAATTGAACATGACAGAACAAGTAAAACAACTAACTTACCTCTAATCAGTTGTTTATATATTTTGATCAATTATGTAATTTATTAAGCTATAATAAAATAAATATTTTATATAACAAAATATATCATTAGAAAGTTTTCGTCAGACGATTAAAATGACACAAAAATAAAAGTATTATCTAATTTCTAATTCTTATTTTAACATTTTATTTATTTATGAATATTCAATAAATTACATAAATTAATCAAAATACCAAAACTATACGAAAACAATATTTTAAGAATAATAAAGTGAAAGTTTTAAAAAACATAAAATACGATAAATAAAAATTAAAGAACGAATAAAATGTAAATAAGAAGGCATATTTGATGTTTTATAAAAGAATTAAGTTTTATGTTAAAGTTATAATGGTAAAACTTAAATCTATATTCCATCTTGTTCCGTGAGGTAGGGATGGAACACGTCTGTTTCACTATACTCATGTTTGTTCTACGTAAAAGTCATGTCAAACATGGAACAATGATTTATATTTTGTTTTATTCTATCATGTCCAGTATACCAAAAACATTTTAATGGAATTTTTCTTAAAACAGCTTGTGAAAAGAAGCAAATTTGAACGAGTTCAAACTGTCTTGAGGAAAGAAAATGGACAAATTTGCCTGTATCATTTATGTATTTTAATAATTAATAAAAAAAAAACTTATTGAAAATATTTAACATCTCACCCAAACCTTAATGAGTAATTCCTACAAATCTCAAATTCTTCGTCTCTTCATGTTCGATACGTTTAATAATTTTACATAACTTACGATTTTATATAGGTTTTTAATATGTTCGTCTACTTGTGGGTAAGCTCGACCTATTTATAAGACGAGTAAAAATAAGTTATCAAACCCAAAAAAGTATATATTTGAATTTGCGAAATGTGTTGCTTGTCTAGAACAAGCTCCACAAATGATCACTCTAATATGCAAGTCTACCAAACATCCATATTTCTATCTTTTTCTAGAGAGATAATGTGAAAAGTTTTTCTAAAAGAGCATCTATGATGAGTTTGATTTGATTGTAGTTGTAAGTTCTTTTACTTTTCTTACCCAAAAGAGTAAATCTAATACTAAACACAAGAAGAAAACCACAACAACACCATACGGTTCAGAGCATCTCTAATATAAGGTTTTTATAAGTAAAAAGTGTAGTATTTTACAAAATACCACCGTTGAAAAGAATTCTTATAATAACCTCATATTCTTTGAGTTCTTATACAAGAACTTTGGTTCTTACCTTGAAATTAGTATGAAGTGACTTTTTTGTTAAATTTTTTATATATTAATTGTTTGTTGAAAAAAATGCATGGAACCCACAAAATGGGTTCTTATAAAAACTATTGTTGTGAAGTTCTATGCATGTTTCTAATTTGGTGACATAGAAATGATATGACAAACAAAAGTATAAAAAATGGGTTCTTATAAGAACCTCTGTTGGAGATGCTTTTAATGGTTAAGTGAAAGTGTTTATTACTCTTACCAGTAAGCGCTTACCGGGTAAGCGTTGAGTAAACAACCCTCAAGTCTCACCAAAAAACGAGATGCGTATGTGTTTTACCGTATATAAATATCATATATTTATAAATGAAAAAAAAAACCCTACCACATATCCCTGGCTGCTTTTGCTTTAAGAGCCAAAGACCACAATCGACTAGCAACAAGTATCTAATGTTGGGTTCGGCTGCCAGTTTGCCAGTTTCAAATCTTGAACAAGGATTGATCGAGTTTTGAGTGAGAATCCAACGTCGAAAAAAGACCTCAGTTGTCACCAAATACGATAACCACTCATTCAACTACCTCCATTTAGTATCGGTTAGACCAAAGACCACGAAGTATACGCTCCACTGCTATTCCAACCAGGAGACAAGGAGTTCTAGCAAAACAAAACAAAATTTGCCAAAGAGTTCGATGCTGCTCAATCTGAGCGGTTTGCTAACTAATGATTAGGGCTTAGTTCCGTTATAACTCAAACCTTAAAAGTTAAAAAAACATAACAAAGCTTTTTGAAGTAAAGCAACATTAATCTACACAATGCATGCTGAACCAAGAACATGAAATGAGATCAAAACTCAATGAAAATGGCTAGAAAGAAACAACTAACCTAATACGATCACTTCTCAGAAGCAATATACGTTTTAAGACGTTATCCTTTCTATGAATCTTGGGAGGCCAAAGCTTGTCTAACTCTTCGTTGATGAACATCCCAGTTGTACACCCGAGCAATTGTAACCTATTTACAAAAGTGAATGCCAAATAAATGCAACCTAAATGTCTCGTGAAAATTACAAACAACAGCAAAACGAAGTTTCTTCTAATCGTATCAGGCCAGGAGATTAACATATAACATCAGCTATTGCATATGTCAATTTCCACTCTCCCCTATGTTCCCTACAAAAGAAGAGTCCATATTCTACCAAAAGGGTCATTGGCCTAGCGGTACTCGGGTTGGTGGTAGATCCCCCCGTCTCCTAGGAGGTCAAGGGTTCAATCCTCACAAAAAGTGAGTGTGCGTGAGTATTTGACGTATATAAAATATTATATACTTCAAAACAGAAGTGTTACACATGGAAAAATCTTGGTTGTATGTTCAACAAAAGATTTACATTTCATGGTAGAGGTTTGACATTAAGAATTCGAAATGTAGCTCCTTTTTTGTATGGATAAATCTATGAAATGAGCTTAATACCTACTAATGAAATATTTCCAAGAGGACGGTACCTGAGTTATTGTGACTTGATCTCGTAAGAATTGTAAATCAGCAATTAAAACTTCCAAACTGGCTTTTGCATTTTCCAAGTTCTTCCGTAGAAGAGAAGTGGCCTGCACTTGGAAAAACGCAGATTAATTCGAAACTCCTTCACCCTGCGTAAATGAAAGGTTAACCTATATGAAACATCTGGAGAAAATATGCGTACCTCTTCACAAGAATACTCAAGCATTACGTTTGCCCCCAACCACAAGCACACTGAATCAATATCCTCCACTCGAGCTCGAGAATAGATGCCTTCTGATGCTTCAAAATCAGTAAGCAATGCCTACGATCAAACAAGTGGGTCCCCACATGTTAGGTTCACAAGAAATTTTGAATGGCGATTCTACAAATGCAAACAAGCAGAGTGTGTTGCATGTGTAGCTTAATAGAAAATTCTGCACGATAACAGGAGATAACAAGGTTGATAATTCTTTAGAACGTGTTTGGTACACAGATGGGACTGGACTCGACTGGATGGGTGAAGTGAGGTAGGCGGGTAAAAGAATTCTGTGAGGTTTTAGGGTTTTAATTTGACATGAAAGTTTAGTAATTTACCAATTCTGTCTCATCTCCCTGATTTTTGTTCCACCTAATTTGGTGGTGCATTTTTATCCCACTCCCAGCCTAAATGTACAGAAAAATATTTACAAACAATTACACCAAAATCATGTCTACCAGGTTTTAAAAAGTTTACAAAGTGTAACCGAAGTTCACAAAGCTTTGATAAGGGTTTCATTACGAAGCATCAACTTTCTGTTCACTTTGGTTCTGTTTCGACATTCTTGGATGCTTCAAACCATTTTTCTTGTGTATGATGAAATCTTCTGTCGGTGCACCCATTTTCAATTTGTTACATGGGAATGAAAACATGTTTCAGGGAAGAACATAACAACCCACCATAACCGATCAAAAATATGCCCGAACCAGATACTATCGGGTACAAAAAACACTGGTCCCAACTCAAATATCTTATAGACAGATGATGGACCACCAACGATCCGGTCTGGTCCAAACCGCTTACGTCATTATCTGACCCAAAACCGGTCCAGCCCAGCAGGCCCCTTCCCTTTTCCCACCTGGCCACCTCTAATAATATGCACGCTGTGAAAGGCATGTACTCAATCCAACAGATATATCCTTTCCCTTGTCCTATAAAGTTAGCTACATCATACCTCAACTGTCGGTTACTTCTTGGGCTAAATCCAGCGAGAATCAATGCTACACCAGTACCACACTAAATGCTATCCTTATAAATTGCATCTCTATGTTCCCTTACATTCCTAACTTCATCTTGAACTCAATAAGAATATCTTGGCCCACACCTAAGCATATTCCCTTTAGACTTAACACGAGGTTAATTAAGTACAAACTCTGCACAGGAATGTTAATCTCAAGAAAAATAAACATAATCAACAAATATTTTGGTACCATACTACCATATATAAGACGGCATAGTGTCACCATTGATTAGTTCTCATGAAACTGGGCCAGCAGTGCACCCAATATACATTCAGTCACCATGCTTGAGCACCTAGACCTAGCAAGCATCCTCCAAGGAAGGCTCCCTAATGCTCTAGAATTCTCTAAGGATGACTAGAGCTTCTCAGCAATATTCCAGGATTCTCTAGTACCATACGGAACTCTCTTGATACTTTGGATCGAGTCTTAGATACTAGTGGGAAAACCTAGTAACATCATGTAATTAGACATTCCAAGTTCTAGTGATTTTTGTGTAACATAGAAAGTTGTCAGTCAAATAAATAGGGAGCTCCTCCTTATTTKTAAGCATCCAAGAAATCTAAGAATCCAAGTATCAATAAAAAAGAGATCCTTCTATAGAACTCCCTCTATTAGCTTTTTGTGTTGGCTCTTCGACCACGTCACTTCTCAAGCATTTCAGGTTGACTTGGCATTAACAAAAGAAAGGCAAGCGCTAAGGCTGCAGAGTTGGCATGACTGAAGCATATACAATAACCTTTTGAAGGTCTATATCATACTTACAGATGGAAACACTTGGAGGGGGGGGGGGAGTGCTCCAAAATGAGTTTTTCTTATATCATAAAATATAGATTCACATTCATCAAGTAATCCAAGCATTTGATCATGTATTGAACAAAAATATTTGAGCTACCATCCACTTAGCAAGTATTCAAACATATGCAGAACACATTTGGATGACCATATGACGGATAATAATTGTTAACTTGACTAAAATTATCAATGACCTTTGTCAAAGTGATGTCAAAATATTCACTAATAGCCAAGCTATAAAACTAGATCATTTCTGAGAGAGATACACTGCTAACACAAATTAATTCTAAGGAGATCCACTACACAACAATAACGAACCTCACCGGTACCCTTCTTAGCTTGTAAAGTAGCAACTACATCCAAGCATTTCTCGATGTCTGGAATCTTTGCCTGGTAAAGCAGAAATCAAGAGTTCCAGCTATCAATTTTGGTTACAATTGAAGCAGAGATGACAAGAAATGCAACATCAGAAATTCAGAATAGGAAATTTTACTTGCTATACTATTTTTCAGCAAAATGCATTAATTGAAACACCTTTACATTTTTGCTGTGCAGTTCACTTTTCTACAGTTAATGGATATAAAATAGGCACTTTCAATACATAATAATGTACATCTATTCCTGCTCAAGGAAATGCCAATATAAGCCCTCTCCCTGAACACCCAGGGGGATCTGCCAATAATATAACCACCATCCCGTCACCACTTCTTGGGAATGATTTTCATGTACACTTGGTGAAGTGTGCAAGTAGTAATCTTGGAAATTTGACATCCTATTATTGATCATTAGGCATGCAAAAGTAAAACATTCTGACAGTAATAGTGCTAGTCACAAAGGTCAGGGCCAGGTCATGGTAGGGTGGGTGGGAGTGGGATTACTTTTTCTTGCTTGACCACATAAGATGTGCCAAAACTGCAGAAGTCATGAGATATAAATCAAGACAAGAGATAGAGTAATATGCAGATGGGGTTGTTTAAGGCATATTTCATTACAATTCATCAAACTAAGTCCATCAGGTTCACTTGCAAAGAACAAAAAATTATATGGGAGCTAAAAGAATATTTTAATAGCATTGTCTATTATGAAGATGGGAGGAGAAAGGAGAGCCTGATGGTCCAACCCATCTCAGATCTCAACATTCAAGATACTAAAAACAAAAAATCATCCGAGTAAAATATTAATGTTCAATTCATGCCCATAACTTGAGAAGGCGGATTATATGTTGCATCAGCATAAATTAATCATGTATCAAAATAAATACTACCTGAAGATCCCTCTGTTGAGCAAGAAGTTTCATCTCAACCACCTTGTACTGCTGAAGTCTGCACGAATATAACACAAGGAAAAGAAATAATATGACAATCTTAGTAAATGGAAAGGGAAAAAAGAATGAGAAAAAAATTAACAGCGTAAAAGGATCCTTTGCAAGAAGAGGTTGCAAGAAGAAGCTCTTAAAACATTTCATTGCATTACTTTTGCCATTCATACTAGTTAAATGGATAAACTTAGTCCACGACATAGCACCATTGGCTAATAAAATAAGAAGTCTTAATGGCAATTGGCAGGTCTCACTTAATATGACGATATTATATCATAATCCGAGGACAATGGATACTGATTTTTTATTTGTTACTCTACTGGTCCTATATTCAGTGTTTATTTCAGCTGTTCACAGATAAACACATTTCTTTTCGATATCAAAATTTATATCCATCTACTTCACCTTTGATAGGGAGCATCCCATAGCCCAAGCCCAATTCTGGATGAAAGTCTACCAACGCAGAAGGACCAGTGTAGGGCTGTGATAGACCCAGTTGGTTAATAGTGAGAGGAGATTATAAATAAAGAACGTTGGCTATTGTTGTGAGGCATGAGAGTAATTACCTTTCTGTTGAAAGAATCAGCTGTTAGCAGCTTGGGCAGAGGGTTTACCAATCCTTTGGTTACCCTTTGATTTGTTCCTTCAATCATATGAATTACCAATTAGTAGCTATTTTCCTTATTCTAATTTCCTTACAATTGAGTTCTTAGTTTTGATTCCTATCAGTCTTTCTTAAAATTGGATAACTTATCTAATATTTTCTTAGTAGATATGCTGACAATAGCATCAATCATAGTTGAACTGCAAAGAGTACGTGCAAGGCATAGCTGTAAACTTTTGGCTAAACCTAATGCCTTGCAACCAGCAAGAACAATAACCAGTTCAAACTTCCAAGGACCCCACTAATGTGTTTAATACTTATTTCCTCAATCGCCATTTACAAGTATATGATAATTCCTAGGTCTGGTAGTCCAGCAATATTGAGGATTATTATCAAGCAAACTGATCAATTATGAAAGAAATTCTGATGTATGAACTTACGATTATAAAATTTTCATGAAGCACAAACCATGTAAAAGCTTTATAACATAGTATTCCAACAAAGGCGCTTCTTCAGGTCTGCTACTACATTAAAATACATATGCATCTCGAAAATATATGTTTGGCTTATCCCACCAATATCACTTTTCAAATCCCTATCTCTATCCTACATTCTCGATTCACAAATTCATGAAACTTAAGAATGATGTGATGACATGTCTTCATAAGGAAATGCAAATCTTGAAGTCGGAATGTAGCTACTATATGAGTGCATCTTCTGGTCTTCCACAGTGATTTCAATTGAAGATCCTCCAATCAAGGCAAAACGGAGTTAAAAATAATTTTCCTTTTGATTTTCTATTATTGAAAAAGTCCCTCCAACCTGTTACGCCAACTTACAAGCGAAGTCGAGATAAATATATAATCAGGTGGAATTTCACAATTGACACCAGTGATCAATGGTGAAGATATTTTTCTTGTAAAATGGACAACTTCTCACATCTAGAATAATATGAAAACCTTGTATAGCATCAAAACAGTTATATGATCAATCAAAGATCAACTTTTTCCTAAATAATCAACTCTAAGAAAACAACTTGCAGAGGAAATTTATCAGATTACATTCTTATTTCCTAGCTAATTACCAATAACCATATCCTGTATTGAAAGATATAGCTTCACTAAAATCTCAATAATGTTAGTTAAGCAACAATTCAAAAGCAAATGTATCGCAGTTTTTCTTTTCCTTTGAACAAAAAACCTCCTATAAACCCTAATAAAACAGTTAACTGATCTGAGATTTTCCAGAGAACAAATATAAACTAGTATAAACTTCGGAAACCCTTACACACACTTAAATAGAACGAAATGATGGAGAAGAAACGAGAGACCTTTCTTGGAGGAAGGCGAGAGTAGAGTTGACATCAAGACCTAATTGATTTAGATAAATTTGCACATCCTCTACGAATGAAGCCGCCGGGATTCCTCTCCTCTCCGCCACCACTGCACCACCAGGCTGCTGCGGCGACGCTGATGTAGCCATTACTTTCTCCTCCAAGATTAACAGGAAATCAGCTTCGCAAAAGACTCTGTTTATGATTGATTACCTGCATTACATTCATATATCACCCCTATCATTCGAGAAATTACAAATTCACCTCAAATTTGTAACAGATGATCATTTCATACTCTGTGATACAAGTCCAAAAAGAAAATGGTCTTAAGAAATTACATCCAAGTTTGGCACTTTTGACGGTAAAATCTGCAATTTTTGAATTCTACGTTGTTCTTAATGAAAATCATGGTTGTCCGTCTTTATGTTGATAATCTTTGTTTACAAGGAAATGATCTGAAGACGTTAATAAATTCAAGCACTCAATAATGGAAAATTTTGAGAAGATGGACTTGAAAAACGTCATCATTTTATTGGCATTGAGATTCATTACTCAATAAATGTCTTTGAAAGGATAGTTTAGTTGGTAAAGGGAAATACAAGAGAAGCCTTGGGTTCAATCTCGGGCTAGCATCAGTTGCTGAGTGAGTCAAAAAATGTCTCCTTACATTGGTGTCTTTGGAGGCGAGTTCTGTATGGTGCTGATTGGAGTTGCCGATAATCAACTACTGCCCAAATAAATAATCTTTTATGTCACATGTAGAATAAATTGTTACAAAGTTCAAGATAGAAGGATGATGATACAGTCTTTATCAACGCAACATATGTTTGAAGCTATACAAGGAATGTGAATGCAAACTTGTCAATCCTTCCATGGAGAAACCTTATTCCAATAATTTGGAGGTTACCAATTGAATTTTGAGATACGTTCAAGGAACCAATGACTATAACATGTTTTATGCAATGCTTCGTTTAACATAACATCATTGAGATAGTGACTTAGCATAAAGTATTAATGATAGCAGAATCACTTTTAGGTATATCATTGCACCTTCAGTATAATGTCAATTTATTTGGTTCCGTCGAATTTTGGAGTAGTCTTAAGCAGAATAGAACAAGCCGACCACTTTTCCATGACAATAATCAACTATTTTGGTTGCTTATGGAAGACAAAACGTTTTCGCCTTTGATATCAATTATTGAGGGAAATTGTCAATGGAGTGAGAAGAAAACTTTCTGGAAAAGAAAGGAAAGACAGAGAAAGAGGAAGAAAGTAAAAAAAACGTGATCTTGAAAAAAAATAGGAATGGAAGAAAAAGAAGAAAAATAATGATAAGTTTTCACCTAAAACTTTCCTCCCAGACATGGTAGAAAAACGAAGGAAAAGAATACTAAAGGGCATTTGATCTAGCGGTATGTGAGTTACTGGCCTCTTAAGAGGTCAAGGGTTCAAATATCACCAAAGATGAGGTGGGTGTGTAAATTTATTTGTTCTATTTACCGTGATATACTTCAAAAAAAGCAAGGAAAAGAAAATAAAGAAATTAAATTTCTTTAAATAATTATTAAAATTACAAAACTACCCATCTTTCATTCCAATCGATAGTTTTTTTAAAGGTGTTATTAATAAAAGAGACATATTTTCTTTCATTGCCTCTCCTGTTCAAGAACATGAAAAATCATGTTTATTATTTTCCTCTCTTTCCATTTCCTTCTTTTTTGATTTTTTTAAAGTATTAAATGTATTAAATATTTTAATAAAATAATTATGTTGAAGTCTCCAAAATTAGATAAATATATTTTTTGTAAATGTTTTAACTTTGTATTCTCTAATTTAGGGGAAAACTATTAACACAAATGCACCAGGATTTTTAGGTCATAATTTTTAGGGGTGGACATGATACAGTATCATGTTTTTTTTTCCATATATTGTTTATCAACCAATTATAATCGGTACGTAAAATTTTATACCTTGTACTAACGACTATAGTTGGTACCACTAAATTTGTACCAACTTTTTTCAGTTAGTAAATGGTGGTAGCGAAGGAAGAGACTCATAGAATAGCAGAGACAAAAAGAGTTTTTGCATATTTATATTGACATCTTTACCAACTAAATCTAAATACACCAAGATGCTGAGCATTCAAATAACATGTTGATACGAGTTGTACCATTTATCCTTACCTATAAAAGCATTCAAATAACTATCATACAATATAAACATCGACTAATAGTTTAATACAATCCGCTATGCAGATGTGGACGAGTAACTAAGGATATTAGCGTTAGACGAATGAATTCAGTTAAGTTCCGTATGTCCATCGCATTGTAATTAAGCAAATTTAAAAATAAGATAATAAAAAATTTAAATTTTCATATATGGTGTATTATTCATTAAATTTAATTAATAATAATTAAAATAATAAGTTGGTACAATACATATTATCGTGGTACACAACTTCTAATACCACATATCAACCAAGTTTAGATCATTGGTAGTTTATACGGTACTACCACACGATTAAATTAGTATCAACTAAATTGATGTCAATTAAATTGGAGATGATCTCATTGACCACACGACTATAAGCAAGATAGAAAAGTAAATAAACTTGCAAAACTAGATAAGGCGGAATGATATTTTTACACATTTTAATTCATAATTTAACCTCATAAGTACTCATCTTTTTATTCTACTGTAAGTGTATATTGACTTTATGCTAGACTCGTTTCATATATGTGTCAGAATGTCAGTTGTTCCTTGGATTGCATCATGGATTTTCAAGGCACTCGAATCACATATATTGCTTATTAACTACATATATCACGTTTTCTAAAGGTAACCTAAATGTATTAACCACTGATGCTATACTTGTATATTACTTAAAACTGTATTATTATTTTTATGATAAATTTTAAATCCAAATTAAATATTCTACGTATTTGAAATTATTGAATGACATTAGCAACTTTTCTTTGCTCAACCATTTTTTTTTTGTTCTCACTTAATAATATTTAAATATAATATTTTGTTTTTCTAGATTTATATGTTAAATAAATAAAATGTTGATCCATAGCCACAAAGTACCATCATGGACTAGCCAAAGCCCAAGCCCATTGGGCTAAAAACCGTTAAGGCCCGAGAGAGATATTTGACTTCCCTCACATTTAAAATTCAATAAAAACACAAGCTCAAATCTTCACATAAAAGTGAAAAATGAAAATCTTAACCATGGTTAGACGTAAGGTTAAACTGCAAAAACAGAACTTATGATTTTTGATTTATTTTTATTATTATTTATAATATTTATCTTTGTTCTTATGATATATTAAAATCTAAGTTTACTATTAATTCATTAATGCATATCTACAATTTTTTAAAGTTTTATTTGAATTCTATAAAACGAACTAATAAACACTTTCATATTCAAAATAACCATTAAGAAAACTTCATAAATTATGGATTTTTTTAGATAAAGAAATGTATCAATTTTGCATTTTCGGTTTACAAAAAAAGGGTTGCATATCACTTCATTGCAGTATACACCTCGTTTGTATGTGTGTACATATATGTGTCGGGTTCAAACGAGAACAAAGTCAAAATAAGATAACACAAGATTGTTTATATCATACGTGATGTATTAAAATCACATGTGATTCAGGTTCGGTTAACGTTATTAAGTCGCCAACACCTGTATCATATGTGATTTTGGACAAAAAAAAATTACATATGATATAAACGCTCTTATGTTCTTTTATTTTAACAATGTTATTGTTTAAACTCCTTTTTGCTTATAAAGAGGAAGTGTCAAATTTACCTTCAATTAGGTTATGAGTCATTTTTTTTTAAATTAATATAAATGTAGATTATCTTATCTTATCTTATCATAAAGATGTCAACATTAAGATTAAGAGGTGGTTAAGGTATCTATTCTTAATTGGTCCACTTTACTTAATGTTTAATGGTTTGGATAGAAAGACCCATCATGTTTGATTTGATTACTTCCCATTTCACATGATAATTATAACAATTTATTAGAGTTGGCTATCGAATCCCGTCATATTCAAACGTTGTTATCTTTTTGTATTTTATTTAATCATGCATTTCGACAAAAAAAAAATATATTCATGGTCACTTTTTGAAACAATAGTAGCTTTATTTCACTAATTTGAATTGTGTTTGTTGATATGTTTTGATAATACACGTTGTTTTGTCAATGAAACAACATTTTGGGTTGGTCTATTTTAATAATACAACGTTGTTCACCGACGAAACAATACATGAAATTGATCCCTTTTATGTATAACGTCGTTTCACCAATGAATCATTACATCCATCAAGTGACTTCAAACGGGAAAAAGTGATTACTTGTAGGAAACAATTGATAAGGTAATTAATATAATTAATAAGGTAATTATGAAAGTTAAAAAATTTGTGGTCAATATTGTTTCATAAAGTTTCTAACTTATAGACGGTTTCTATTTGATTTACCTCCTATATATATATATATATATATATATATATATATATATATATATATACTAATTGATTCGAGTAAAGCTAAAAAGAATGATTTGATTAATACGTAATTGACAGTTTTTTTTTGTTTAAGTATGTGTTCAATTTTTTTACAAAATACGTATAAATTAAAACATATTAGTTTCATCTTAGCTATAATTTCGTTTTTTTTTCCAGTAGCAATTGATATAGTAATAACAATTTAGTTAAATATGGCCCAAGACTTGCAAAAATTTGTAACAGACCGAATTAACGTCTACTTCAACTTAAAATAAATGTGAGAATTATTGATAGTTCACAACTTTAACCTTATAAGAATCTTACAGATCTCATTTTCTAACATGTGGGACCAGTTGAAACAACCTCACCCCAATTAAACGAACTCACAAATACTACTTTTTTAATCAATACGAGACGAGTTTGCAACAGAAACGTAACTCAATTTCTTGGCCAACAATCTATGAAACCAAACAAACTTTAAACAATTGTGGCTCATGGGTGATTCTTGTGTCCATTCTTCCACCATTCACTTCGACAATAACAAACATAAAGAACACAATCCAATAATTCAAGCATCTCAATAGAAATAATCATATAATCCTCTTGGCCTGATAACACATAGTCAACTATTCGTTTTGAAATCTCAAGAATTACATACACATCATGATTGTTTCCAACTCAAAATTCCATACATCAACGTGACCATCGATTCTTTCTATGAAACCAAAACAGTTTTCATCGATTTTAAAGACAAACCCTGATCCATTTGACTTAAAAAAGAAGTCAAAATTGACTTCAATTATGGTAACATGAAATACATATTCCTTAACCCCAAATTATGGGGGTTTCACTAGCTTTGATTTTGTTTGATAGCTCCTTCCTAGACCTTTCCATGTTTAAAGAGAGAAAAGGGACATAA